ATGCTAAACAGTAGGTGATGGGCTATTTCCATGTTTTTGTCCCATCAGAGAACAAGAAACCCTGTGTCTTTCATACAAGCCTGTTCCCATTAGATTCCCAGCTCAGTCTTGCACATACAGTAGATTCAGATAGGTCATCAAAGGTGCAGATATACATTTAAGTTTCTAGAAGATTAGCCGTAGCAAACTTAGCATGTCTAAAGAATTTTTCCTTTGATAATGTACTAATCCCATCGACTTTAGTCACCAAGGATTATGCTAAAGGAATAATAGAACTTTGCTATAAGGTCATCAGAAGTCCAAAGCTCTTTGTATAAAATACATAAACTAGGAGAATACAACCACTCCCTCAGATACAGCTAAAGTTTACTATTATAATATGCATACCCTTTCACAAAAATCTACAACATGAAGACAAAATAAGGCACTAGCCTTGCCTCAATAGTTTGTTTCCCCTAACTATGTCAGGTTCTTTCATTTTTTTTCAAGATATTTTCTCAATCAAAACATCCAAATTGAGTTCTTTATAGTAATACACTGCTCGCACCATGGAGAGTGCATTCTATACTTGCTCTGCCCTTATTTAACTATCTTTGGGTTTTTGTACTGCCACCCATCACTAAGTAGCTGTTCATCTCTCATGCAAAATAGTTTGGTAAAAGGCAAGTTCCAGCTCCTTTATCTGATATAATTTATTCACTCTGCAATGAACAGGAGAGTTACTGGCAATTGGAGTGGGAGATAAAACTAGAACAGAACAGAAAAATATTGGCCTAAACTTTTGATTGCCAAAGAATAGAGGGGAGAGGAAAATTTACCAGGATTAATGCAGCATAATCATAGTAAAGTCTTACAAGACTAGTATCCTACCATATTGCCAATATGTGCTGTTGGGTTTTTGCACTTTTCTGTTTCTATTTTATGTGAAGTTAAACACACAACCTACCAAATCAAATCAGGTGTGTGCTTCCTTTTCTGTTAAAGCAGGAAATGTGCTTATGTAATATTTTATTGTGTTGTTCTTATAAGGGACCACTAGAGGTAGCTCAAGTGTTCCTGGCTGAAATACCAGCTGACCCAAAACTTTATCGACATCACAACAAGCTGAGGTTGTGCTTCAAAGAATTTATAAGGAGGTCAGTAAAAAGGACATCTTATTGGGGGTCTGTTAAACCAGGGTTGTTGAATTGTACCAATGTTAATAAAATTAATAATGAAAGTCAGTAAAGTTACTTTTTGGAGAGAAATATATTGGCCAACACTACTGAGTTCTGTTTACATAAGGTATGAATATAATTCATTATCACTACTAGAATTTTTTCTTTATTATTTCTCTCATATTTGCTTCATGTCTGAATGAATGGTAAACTCAATTCATGTGGGCAGAAAGATCAGATATTTCTCACTTGTTTTCAACATCTCTGACTGGTGATTTATTGGAGATATACGTGGGTTTGGCAACAAACAAAGCCTAATTTCAGCCTGTCAGGTTATTTAATGCAGATTTTTAAAAATTGTCAGAATTAACCAGTGTGGTTTTATCGTTGTTTTGTGAACAGATGTGGTGAAGCAGTGGAGAAAAACAGACGCCTTATTACAGCAGACCAGCGAGAGTACCAGCAAGAACTCAAAAAGAATTATAACAAACTGAAAGAGAACCTTAGGCCAATGATTGAGAGGAAAATCCCAGAGCTGTATAAACCTATAGTGAAAGTCCACAGTACAACAAGGTATGACTCGGGCAATGGGTACTGGTGTGTTTATCGTGCAGAAATAATGCCTCTAATTATTAAACACTAAAAGAATTTTTCCACTGCTTCCACCAAAAAATTGGACAGTGTTAGTTATGCAGCACAAGGTGGTATTCCACAAGGCAGTTTCATCAATGTTACTTTTACAAAGTCAATAAAAGACTTGAGAAGCTGGATACCTTCAAGTCAGCCAGCCCTGACAATCTTCACCCCAGGGTACTCAAGGAGCTGGCGAGCATCATAGCCCAGCCTCTAGCATGGATCTTTGAAAACTCTTGGCGCTCTGGTGTAGTGCCTGAAGACTGGAAGAAGGCCAATGTGGTGCCTATCTTCAAGAAAGGGAGGAAAGTGGATCCGGCTAACTATAGGCCCATCAGCCTGACTTCTATCCCGGGGAAGATCTTAGAAAAGTTTATTAAAGAGGCCATCCTTAATGGACTGGCCGACGCCAACATCTTAAGGGATAGCCAGAACAGGTTTGTTGCGGGTAGGTCTTGCTTGACCAATCTCATTTCCTTCTACGACCAGGTGACCTATCACCTGGACAAGGGAGAAGAGATTGATGTCATATATCTTGACTTCAAAAAAGCCTTCGATCTGGTGTCCCATGATTGCCTCTTGGAGAAACTGGCCAATTGTCGCCTTGGGTCCTCCACGATCCACTGCAACCCCAACTGGCAGCCACTGTTGGGGCAGGCTCTAGCACTGAAGTGTGGCTACTGGAGGGTGAGGCTCCAGAGCTGGCTTGCCGTGTAGCATAAGCCAGACCTCAAATGCTGCTATGCAGCACTAGGGAGCATATCGAGGTGCAGCAAAATCCTTCAGGAAAAAGTTGAGGACAGGCCAGGGATATTATGATAACTGCTGGTGAATGAGGAGTAGAGTCCTACCTACCATGGTTGGGCTCTCCAAATTGTGGGGGCAGCTGCTACATCTGCAGCCTGCAATGCAACGCGGCGGCTAGTAAAGTGACCAAAACGCTGGCTTGCATCCATAGATGCTTCTCAAGCAAATCCCGGGACGTCATTCTCCCCCTGTACTCGGCCTTAGTGAGGCCACAGCTGGAGTACTGTGTCCAGTTTTGGGCTCCACAATTCAAAAAGGATGTGGAGAAGCTTGAGAGAGTCCAGAGAAGAGCCACGCGCATGATCAGAGGTCAGGGAAGCAGACCCTACGATGGCAGGCTGAGAGCCCTGGGGCTCTTTAGCCTGAAAAAGCGCAGGCTCAGGGGTGATCTGATGGCCACCTACAAGTTTATCAGGGGTGACCACCAGTATCTGGGGGAACGTTTGTTCACCAGAGCGCCCCAAGGGATGACGAGGTCGAATGGTCACAAACTACTTCAAGATCGTTTCAGGCTGGACATAAGGAAGAACTTCTTTACTGTCCGAGCCCCCAAGGTCTGGAACAGCCTGCCACCAGAGGTGGTTCAAGCGCCTTCATTGAACACCTTCAAGATGAAACTGGATGCTTATCTTGCTGGGATCCTATGACCCCAGCTGACTTCCTGCCCTTTGGGCGGGGGGCTGGACTCGATGATCTTCCGAGATCCCTTCCAGCCCTAATGTCTATGAAATCTATGAAAAGTGGAATCTCTCATCCCAAAATAAACCTCAGTTTAGAACTGGGTTACTGAATAACATGCCATCTCTTTGTTATCTGAAGCCAGAGTTAAATTAGAAAATGTGTTTCTAAGTGTCAGCGTGAAGTATTGTCCATCATGAAATAAGTGTGATCATATCAGGACTGCATGATCCAGATATTAAAAACTCTCATGCCTTGTACTTTTGAATGTGTGGTTTCCCCCAAGCCACCTACTTGTGTCAAGGACACTAAGTCAAATATACTTTTCAGATATTTAAAATAAGCTACTGTTTGGCTAATAATTTTTCTAGTTATTGTTTGTTTGTTTAGACCCAATAATTTCATTTCCAAGTTTTATTCATGATCTTTTTTTGTTTGTTTGTTTGTTTGTTTTCATTTCAGGAACTCTTTTCATAACTCTAGCTTTAGGAAATATGAAACTTCCCCTTCACAGAACAGCTAAGGACTGTCAGCTTCAGAAGAGGGAGTTCCAGGTTGCACAGAACCTGGAGGCTATTCAACTGCTATGCAAACCTGGAAGTTCTTCTCATAGTACAGCATGCACACGATCTGGGCAGACTGCACTCAAAGCTAAGAAACTAGATATTCAGGATAAAAAGGAACGCAACACACAGCACATACCTCTGTCTCCTATGGGAGTGGGAGGAAGAGGAGCTGGACTTCGGCTGTTTCTGTATTTAATGTTTCTGTATTTAAGTGTTCAGGGAATTGAGATGCCATTGAATAATGGACTTGTATGTACAGAAGGTGATAATCACTTTTAAGAGACTCAGAACTTTTTATCGTTTTAACTGTTATTTTATAAGAACCAGCCCAATATACCTGACAGAAACTGAAGAATGTTACACATACATACCCCTATTCAGGATACCACTTCAGCATGGTTTCAGGGGGATGGAGTATATTCTAGCAGTTATGCACATGTTCATATAAAGATAAACTTAAGCATGTGCACAAGTGCTTTACAGAACTAGAACCCTAGGAAAGACCTGTAAATTTAAAGCAAGCTTTCCTTGCTTGTGTTCCTCATTCACAGCAAACTATGAAAATGCTAAAACAGGGGCTGCTTCCCTTTCGAGTCTTCCTAGCTGAAACTTTAAAAGGCAGAAAATAACAATCGGGAATTTCTGCCTAATTCACCTACCTACAGAAATAACTATTTAAAATTTATTTTTGTGAAATGTACATTAGACTTCTCTGTGAACCTAGGACTTGTTATTTTTAGTGTCATGTTTTTGCAAAATTAACAGATACGTGTTTAAAAGGATAGAGCTAAAATGATTAATGCTTTCTTAAGAGAACAGACCTTTCTGTAAAGAGAGATCCCTCTAAAGAGATTAGCCATAGGAGTGTACTGGGAGGATTTCCTAGGATGTACTTTATCTGAGTTTTTAATGCATAATAACACTGTAATCAGTTTCTGTATATTTATAAATACTTAATGCTTTTCATATTCATATGCCTGAGGAAACCTTAACTAATTTGGTCCTCACAACATTTCTCTGAAGAAAGCAAGTACAGTAAAAGCTGTGTTAAACAGCATTCTACTAGCTGGAATAATGTATTAACTGGAATTTCTGGCTGGCCGGACATGGGGTGGGGGGAAGAAAGCTTGTGCATGGTGGCTGCTGCCACCACCCACCACCCTGTGCTGCCACTGCTCTGCATGCAGCCACTGCCATCCCCACACCCCCCGCACTCCACAAGGGTTTTCAAAAAGGTTGAAAACCCCTGCCTCAGATAACTGGAATTTTTAGATACCCAGCACCCCCATTCACCACTCTAACACAGCTTTTACTGTAATAGTGTTGCTATTTTACAGCTGGGGAAACAGAGAGACATGAAAGTTGCAGACAGAAGTGACAATTTTCACCATATCTGGCCACAGAAAGCAGCTTATAGCTGTGACCAAACACAAGTGCACAGCTGCAGACAGCTTCAAAAATGACAGATCGGGTGAAAATCTAACCCCTCCTTGCATGAAGTGTCAAATAAGGACATTTCAAAATGTAGAGTCTTTTGTAACTTGTGTCTGCAGAGCTTTTAGCCTGTCACTGTTTTCAAAATGACAGGGGGAAGGGAGCAGGAGTTCAGTTTGGGTTTTTTTAGCCCCCCTGGAGGATGGAATAGGCCCATTGGAGCCCTCTGAGGTAGAGGGGCTCCAATTCACCTATCCCACCCTTCAGCACTGGCTGAGAAGCTCCAAGAACAAGCTCCTCCCACTGCCTTTCTCCCCTCCCAAACCTGGCTTCAAGCTCCCAGCCCCAGCTAAATTCCCCCCCACCTTGGAACCAACAGTGAACTTTTGTTTGGTCTGGGGTAATGTTATAACCCAGAGCACTTTGCAGAAATTTTTCTGAGTTACAGCTAGGAACTGCACATCTGTCTGCACCTGAAAAGAAGTGACTTATCCAAAGCCATGTGGTAAGTCGGTGCCAGAAGCATGATTTTGAATACAGGCTCCTCCTGTTAACAGCAGAGCACTCAAAAGTTGGAAGAGAGCTTCCACGGTTATATACAAAAGATCCCCACACACAATCAAAGATCTGAGACATACACTGGGATAAGAAAAATGGTTTAAAAATGCTATCTCTGTACCAATGTGCATAAATGCAAACTGTTCTAGTATAAGTATTTTTTTTCTCTCTCTACTCACAGTCCCTGCTACATTCAATATTCAAGAGTCAGAACTCTGGGCATTTTGAAACAAAAGCATCTGAAGTAAGCAAACAGTGTGTCAAATTGAAAGCCAACAGATGTCTCCTCAGAGTGGCTGTCCTTTAATAAGGTTGCTTTGAAAATACTTACAAACTAAACAGAGCAGTCAGTTTTCCACAGTCTAGTCTCTTCAGTCTTGGCGTGCCACAACATTGTCCTTTATTTATTCTTTTAACACTTTGTTCTGAAAGATGTTCACAGTGTCTTTGACCCCACTTGGCCAAAATTCAGTTTCATTGTCCTCATGCTGCTTCATTCACAGCTACCCAACAAAAACTTCAGGTAAACAAAAAAGTTACACATTTGCTGCATACTGGTTCAATTATATGTGCTGTGTTTGCACTCTTGAAGTGTTTCATGCTGTATAGTACAATTTGGTCTTGCTGTAGAAATACTTTGAATTAATGCAGGCTAAACTGCAAATCCCTTACTTGATGTGGTGAGCAGGTAATTCCCCAGGTAAACTCTTGGCTCACCTGTGTTAAGGAAGGGGTGCCGGTCTGGCCCTTGGTTTACACATCATCCCTTTCACAAATAAAAGTGGTTTGTACATTTCTTTTAAAAAGCCGAACTGTGTAAAATGTAAAATTATTCAAAGTTTTGATGCTCCATTTTGCAATAAAGTAAACGCTTCAAATAAAAACTAAGAGATTCCATTGGATTGAAGTGTTTTATATCTTAACATCATCCAGCTGAAACAAAGCTTGAATAATGACCAACTTTAGTGTTGTCTTTCATTAAGGATTTTTACCTTTAGACTGAAATCCAGGCTCCATGGAAGTCAATGGGAGTTTTCTGTACCTTAGAGCAGGTCTGTCAAGCTCACCTGTGCCAGATCTGGACCATGGGACTCCTGCCAGGTTGGGGTGGAGGTGGCAGTGTGATAGCAGGCCTCAGTCCTCATTCACTCTCCTGCCACCAATAGCCCAGGGTCTCCAAATTCAGTGGTAGGCCATGCTATGGCCTGGATTTGGCCTGCAGAGCTGTATGTTTGGTACCCCGAGAGGAGGAAGTGACTTGCTTGCCTGCTGGCTTTCTTTTTAAATGGTACATTAGTTTAATGCCTATGAAAATTGCCACCCCTTGAGACTGTGACTCCTTCTCCACTGAACACATGGGACACAGCAAAACCCATCAGGTGTGGCTCAGTAGGTTTGCAAATTAGCTCCAGGGTGGAAAATAAAGTCCAGCTTCCATGTTCACTGAGTTCATTGGCTAACATATTGGAACAAGCAACAAAAGCACCAAATAGTGAAGTATGGAGCTATAGTCCTTTGAGCTGGAAACCCTTTCAGAAACCTAGCTTAAACCATTACGTGGCAATAGGTTTAAGATGCTCAGTGTTGAATTGAAAATTTAAATAACAAGGGCGCTTCAGTGTGGGGCTAGCCAGCAGACAGCCCCACTGAAGCACCCTTGTGCCCCAACCAGTTGGGCAGTGTCTACATGTGTGCTGCTGCACACAAAAAAGTCCTCTGCAGGTTTATTAGTTTCATGTGCCCTAGTAGGGGTGCACATGTAGATGCGGAGAAGTTTACTGCGGATCCAGTTTGGCAGCTTTGTAGTAAACGTCTTGTATAGATGCACCCAGTAACATGAATATGGTAATTAATGTTATCAAACACTTTTGTGCTTGTCTAGTGTGAAGATTGTGGGCCCATATTTTAGCAGCTATCCTCCATAAGAACATCTGTGAGCTGAACTGACTCAGACTAGGTTTTTGACATATTCAGACATACTGAAGACAAACATTTTGGCATTCTTTTTTTCTTTGCCAGTTTCAAGGACAAGGGGCTCAACTGTTTCAGAAAGAGTGGATTATAATCTTCAAATAAAGCCTAGGACAAAGGTTCTTAGTTGGCTCAAAGATGTTGCGGTCTTTCAAAGTAATGCTCGGAATGAAAATAAAGGCATTCACTATAGGCATCTGCATTTGCTTTGCAACACAGAAGAGCTTTCATCTGATAAACCAAGAACACTTGAAAGAGGAACTTTGGTACCACTCAAGCATATTCACGTAAGCAATGCTGACTTTAGTGGTTCTGAGTCCAACTAACTATTTTAACACCTGTCTAAGTCTACTTGACACAGAGGTTAAAAAGAAAGTCAGCAGGTGCTGGTAGATGTGCGATAGAACTCACTGGTTTGACTTATGTCCTGAGTAAGGTAGAAATCCCACAGATAAAAATAACATGATCATTTCAATAAATACTGTAAGAAAGTGTAACTACATAACAAAGCTGAATAGAGATTGCATAAGGTGCTAGAATATCTGGTATTTCTTAACTTTTGAATGCATGATTTTGCACCCTTAATACTTTTCATGTCGTTATTTTTGTGTGCAATAAATGGAACTGGTTGAATTTTATCTTTGCATTCAAAGAGCGACTTTCTAACATTGCCAAAACATTCATTTTTTTCACAAAAAGTATTCTTTCTGTATTGTTGCAAATATTGTTTTATTAACTGAAAAAGTTACTGTTGCTAAAAAACAGAAAAATGCACAGCTAATTTTTAAAAAATGAAATTCGTTCATCTTTGTAAAAAGCTGGAAGGGGAAATGTGTTTTTTCATAGAATCATAGAAAATAAGGGTTAGAAGGGGCCTTGGAAGGTCATCTAGTCCAACCCCCTACTCATAGCAGAGCTATTCCCAACTAGATCATCCCAGCCAAGGTTTTGTCTAGCTGGGGTTTAAAACCTCCAAGGATGGAGATTCCACAACCTCTCTGGGTGACCTGTTCCAGTGCTTTACTACCTTCCTCATGAGAAAGATATTGGGAAAAACTAACCTAAACTTCCTTACTGCAACCTGAGACCATCACTCCTTGTTCTGTTATCTGCCAACATTGAGAACACTCTAGCACCATCCTCTTTGGACTCACCCTTCAGGTAGCTGAAGGCTGCTATTAACTGCCCCCTCCACCCCAGTCTTCTCTTTTCTAGACAGAATAAACCTAGTTCCCTCAGCCTCTCCTAATATGTCATGTGCCCCAGCCCTCTAACCATTTTCATTGCCCCTTCTTTGCACTCTCTCCAACTTGTACATATCTTTTCTGTAATGGGGGGGTCTAAAACTGGACACAGTACTCCAGGTGCAGCCTCACCAGTGCCGAATGAAAGAAAAGAATCACTTCCCTTGGTCTGCTGGCAGTACTCCTACTAATACAGCCCAGTATGTCATTGGCCTTCTTTGCAACAAGGATACACTGCTGGCTCATATTCAGCTTCCTGTCCACTGTAACCCCCAAGTCCTTTTCTGCAGAGCTGCTGCTTAGTTGGTCCCCAGCCTCTACCAGTGCATGGGATTGTTCCGTTCCAAATGCAGAACTTTGCACTTCTGCTTATTGAACCTCATGAGATTTCTTTTAGTCCAATCCTCCAATTTCTTGAGGTATCTCTGAATCCTAGCTTACTCTCTGGCATATCTACTTCTCCCCCCGTTTGGTGTCATCTGCAAACTTGCTGGGAGTACACTCCATCCCATCTTTCAGGTCCTTGATAAAGATATTGAACAACATTGGCCCCAGGACCACTCCACTTGATGCCAGCTGCCAACTAGACATTGAGCCATTGATTACTACCCTTTTAGCCCAACAATCCAGATAGTTTTCTATCCACCTCATAGTCCATTCATTCAACCTCCACTTCCTTAGCTTGCTTGCAAGAATGTTGTGGGAGACCGTATCAAAAGCCTTGCTAAGGTCAAGGTATATCGCATCCACTGGTCACCTCCCTGTATCCACAGAGCCAGTCACTTCATCATAGAAGGCAATCAGGTTGGTCAGACATGACTTGCCTTTGGTGAATCCATACTGACTGTTCTTAATCACCTTCTCCTCCAAAAGTGCACTTAGAAATGGATTCTTTGAGGACCTGCTCCGTGATTTTGCTAGGGACTGAGGTGAGGCTCCCCAGTCTGTAATTCCCCGGAGCCTCCTTCTTCCCTTTCTTAAAGATGGGCACTATATTTGCCCTTTTCCAATCATTTTGGACCTCCCCACAATTGCCAGGAGTTTTCAAAGATAAAGAGGCCAGTGACTCTCCAATCACATCTGCCAACTCCCTCAGCACCCTCAGGTATATTGTGTCTGGCCTCATGGACTTATATACATCCAACTTTTCTAAATAGTCCCTAACCTGTTTTACTTTCCCAGCATTGACTGCTCACCTCCTCCCCAAACTGTGCTTCCAGGTGGAGTAGTCTGGGAGCTGAGCTTGCCTGTGAAGACTGAGGTGAAAAAGGCATCAAGTACTTCAGTTTTTTCCACATCATCTGTCACAAGGTTGCCTCTCCCATTCAGTAAGGGATATACACTTTCTTTGATCTTCCTCTTGTTGCTGACATAATTATAGAAACCTGTGAAAGTCTCAAGCTTGCTGGCAACGGATCAACTGCTATCCCACTTTTCCTTGGGTAGTCTCTCTCTATGGTCACCTATCACGATTTTGATGTTTGAAGATGCACAAAAAAGGAGGAGAAAAACAAAGGGAGGTGAGATATTCAGTTATCCATGCTGTTAGGGACAGCAGCAGTGATTTCCTTCACAGGGCTCCGCCACCCCCATACCCTGTCTTTACCACACCAATACAGGCACAGGCCTGTGACTTTATTGGCCTCGCCTTTACAGCAAGTAAAGATATGGTGACTAGTAACAGACTAGTTATTCCAATCTCTTACAGGCAGAAGGGTGACCACTAATGGCCCCTCTCATGTGGTCCACAACATCCTTAGGGCTTTATTCCCTTTCTCAGGACATCAATTGCCAGTGGATCTCTTTATAACGACTCCTATTACTCCCATTGTCCCCTCTCTCCAGGTACAGTCTCCTTGGGCATTAGTCTCCTTCTTTCGCCCTTGGTCAAGTTAATTCAGGCTCAACTTGGTCCTCCCTCGGGGCCTACTAATTAGTCGGTCATATGCATTTATTCATTCCCACTTACAGTCCATTTTTCTTGAGACATAACAGTATGATTCCTATTATGTCCATTAACAAGTCTCTTGACCCCTAGTCAATCCCTCAGCTTTCCTTTTACTCTTTCTTGGCATCTTGTTTAATAACTTACTTACCTCCTTTTTCTGGGGTTTCTAGTCCAATAACCCCACTTCTCTTTCCC